AGCGTCCTTCAAGGTGTTTTGCGAGGACGGTATGATACGATTTACCCCTCTTTTCTCAGTTATGCCCCTCCTTTTTTTCCATCTTGTCCTTCTTTATTTTGGAGCCACTCCATTTCTCCGCAGAATTCCTATGTGGAGGGATGTTTTAAGGGGAAACGAATTGGATGCTGAAATGACTTTTATGAGAAAACTATGAGAAAATGTTTTATTCCCGCTCTTTGTTTGGCGTTTTTGAGAGGACAGGATATTTTCCCACTTATGTGACAATAGTAGTTTACTTTTATATTATGAATGTCAGAAGATTTCTGGCTGGTTTTTCTGAGCGGACACCGGCACTGAGTTTGACGTTTTCTTTTTTGAGGACGGGGAGATGGCTTATGAACGAAACGTTTCCATACTCAACTAAAAGAAGAATTATTTGAAGTAGTTACATCAAACTATAATCTGATGCATTAGGAAGGAAGCAAATCCTGTGTAAATTATATTCATCTCACTTATAAATTTCTTTTTCTCCCCCTTTTTCCCCTTTCTAGCGCTGGGTTATTTACTGCTAATACTCCGTAGTAAGGTTGCTGGATGAAATTTAAGCTTAAATTTAGTGATCACCCAGACAAGGTGACCACCCCTGGCTTAGAGTGACGGCACATTAATATCAGAACAAATGCAGTACAGTTGCAAAATAGGGCTTATTTTTTACGATATAAAATGTACTCCGTAAATAATCTGTATATTTCTTAAAAGATCCAGGGAAGCCATGGGTACTCAGTACTCGCGCCACTCTCGTAAGCACCGAAGAGGGTAGGTGCCAAGCCTCCCAATTCTCTTCCAATTCCGAAACGGAAGCTTGAAATTTAACTCCTGCTGAGCACATGTTCCTCGAGTGATAGTGCTTGTCACGTCGATGAAGATTTCTTTATTACTTATACTTGTTGACCATCTCGATGAGGGCTTCATCTACCTCTTTTGGACTGGTTGCGTTGAGATAGTGCGCGCCTCCTTCGACCAATATAAGTTTCTTTTCCCTCGAGCCCGTAAAGAGCTCTATTTGCTCCTGGGGATAGGTTGTGCCGAAAGGGATATCTTTGGTGCCCTGTTCATTTTTCCCTCCATTAACATCAGGGTTTCTTTCATGGCGATTGTAAAAAGAGGAGATAGATAAGAGGCAAAGAGGCAAATAATACGTACCTGTAGCCAGTAAACAGGGCATTTAACATCCCTCAGTCGAAGCAGCAGCCCGTCTCTGCTAATAAGGCATATCAACGCCATACGCGCCTTCCTTCTCCCCTCGTCGCCAGAATAGACGCTCCGCACAGTGTTTATCCAGAATTCGACCAACTCAGCATCTGCGCCTTCGCCCAATCCAACACTGGCTACCATCCCACACCAGACTTCGTCTATTACGAAATCGGGCGTTTCTGTGACGCTGTTCAGATTCTCGTAAAAGGGTGTTAGGGAGGTAGCCGGGTCCCAGCATCCCTTTGTCCTCGAGACTTCCGATTCATAGTCCATTGACGTGCCTAGGGGCATGATCCCAAGAATCTGTATGGAAAAGAAGGAATATTAATATGGTTTTTTTTTTTTTTTTTGTCTATCTTAAGTGCTTGCTCGGGTCATGTTCCCTCCTCGTGGCGGCGCGTCGGAACGTCAAGGAATTCTGGAAAGGAGAGCAAAAGCTGGGACAGCTTCGCCGGTTCAGGCCCCAAACAACATACCCGATCAGGAGCCAACAGCGCCATGCGCGTCACAATCCATCCACCTTGGCTAGTCCCCAGTGCGAACGCTTTCTGAATTCCGAGCTCCTCCATCACCTGCAGCGCCATGATTGCCGAGTCCCAGTATGTGAAGTGATCTGTGGGCGAGCTGGTGGCTCCATGCCCTAACGGCTCGATGGCAAGGAGGTTCATGATGCTGGTGAGCTGCTTATTTTCGAATTGGTTAGTGTACAGCGAGGCAGTCGTGCACATGGAGTTGATCATCACACAGGTGGGCTTTGAGGCGTCGTATGTGTCGCTGGAAAGTTTGTATCCTGCGGCGATGCCACTCAGATGAGGGACCTTGACTGTCTTTGACACTGCCATTCTGGAGTTCTTCTTCTATTATTATTAAAGTGGTGCTGTGACAGATGCTGGAGACGAACAAATGTATACAAGGATATCCTGGAGAGAGTGGGTAGGAAAGTGACCGATCATCAAGGAAACGATGTGATCCCGATTCCATATTGGATTGAATTATACCCCTCACTTGCTATGTGGATCTTTCCAAGGTTTCTCAAATGGGACCGATGGGACCGATGGAACCGATTGGCAGTAAATCTTTTATTTAACTCTGCTAGCTGGCTGCAACTGCTCGACATCAGTTGCTTTCAGCTTTGGTTTGCAGGTCAGATGAAATTAATACCACGAATGCATTGGTGATGTTTCTCAAAATATCTCCAAAATAATTTGACCCTGTACGTAGTAGAACCTTGGAAGGTTTACATAGCTCTCCGGCGTCATTTGTGTGATTTAGCCCCTGCGCTAAGATTGGGGATTATTGATCCTGATGTGTAACTACTGGGGAAGAAATATACTGTACATCAATAGCGTACCCCGCGTTTTGATATCAAATCCAATCGCCAGGGACTAGAATACCAAGAGAACATTTTTAGCCGAAATTATTGCACATGGGTCTTTTACCAACGTTACTAACAATGTACTCTACATAGTATAAATTCTCCTATAATGTAGATCAGATCACACTCTAAAAACTTCTGAAACTGCTTCACCATGAATCCAAAATCCCTACAGAGCCAGAAATGGTGGCGAACCTAATGTTCACCTCAACGTTAGAACTGAGCTGCCCTGCCCTTTCCACACTGTCATGATTGAGTGCCATCCGGACCAAAAGTCTTCAACATAGTAGAATAATAATAATATTGGTATAATATCTGAATCCAAAGAATATAAAAAGTATCATCAAGAATGACGCCAAGTCCACTCAAAGTTTGGGTGGACTCCGCACCTCAAATTCCGCAACAGGCGGCGTATCATCTGTTAAAGAAACAGGCAACCAGCCCCTAACAGAGCCATGTGTTGCGAAAATACTCGGAGAGAATTGGCTTGGTTTGCCATCATCCCCGTTCTGAACCCCAGGATTGCCGTTGTCGACGGTAACATCTGCCACATTTTCCAAGGCATGCTTCACGTCCTCATGCAGATCAAATGGGATGCCGCATTCTCTTAGCATCTGTATAATTGCAGTTACATTCAGGCGCATCGTTCGCTCGGGCTCTTGGGCTTTAGCCCATCTCTGCATCACCCAAGGGAATAAAAGGCCGACGTCTGACTGGCTAAGATGGGCTGAGTTAATGGTGTAGAAGACCCTGGGCTGTCGCTTGCTATGTTCGGCTGTGTCCTGGCTGGTAGGGCCGGGTACTGGGTGGGGAGAGAGCACACATCGAGTAGCCTTCAGACCAGCTTTCCACTTGAAAAACTCGTCGCTCAGGACAGCCAAAACATTTGGCTGTCGTAGGTGATCTTTAGGTGAGCCCGCATAGCACGGCAGAGGCTTTTCCCATAGCCATTTTACATCATCCCCCAGCAATGGGAGGTTCCAGAGGTCGAGGAGGATAAGGGGTGATGTTGGCGTCACCTGTGAAACAATCTTGCTATCTGGTCGAGGTTGGTACAGGGGGCGGTATTGCGAGAAGTGTGGTTCCGACGAGGTCGATGCTGGGTCCTTATCACCGACACGGCCCCAGTATATGGACTTGATAAATTGGACGACGCTTGCGGCGCCGAATGAATGGCCCGCCCACGTGATACTGCTGGGAAGATGGATATCAAGGCTAGAAGCGAATACGGGAACTTTTGCACCCTGCATTTGGGCAAAATTTTTAATTTCCATGCCAGCATCCATCTTGAGAAGGGCATCGTGTACGAGACCTAATTCCCAGAGTCGGATGCGCAGCTGGGAATGTCGCTTATGAAGAATGCTCGGCTCGAAAATGTGCTTGATGCGTTGAAATGGCACTCTTTCGGTAACCCGGCCATGGGCGTTTCGGATAAGAGAGATGGGACAGCTTCCATCGCGGTGCTCGGGGGCAATGACGACAATACCATAACTGGCCAAACAGCCAAGGATATAGCTATACATATACCTCGATCCTCCGATGCCATGGGAGAAGACCATAACAGGCCAACGTTTTGAAGGGAGCGTGGAGGATTTCAGGGGCGCATCTCTATATGCTGGCATCTTCGTCCACTTGATTGTATTTGGGAGTAGTCTGACATATTTGTGAAGAATTAGAACGCAGAAAAATCAAACCTCATAAATGATTATAAGAGGATTGGTTTACCGTACCCTAATATATTCGATAGCCGTTTTGGCGCTCCTAGGAATTCCGCCAATCCACCAGTAAAGGTGCCTTGCGGATCCGGAAGCCAATAGACAGGTTTCGATGCAGAGTCAACATCATCTGCAGGATAGAATACCCGGAACAGAATTGTGGACAGAGATATATCTGATTTTGGATGAGGTGCCGGCGATTCAAGAGAAGAGACGGGAATCTCAAACTCTGTAGTGCCAACCTGATGTGGTCCCGTATATGACGGGAAGGTCGGAATTTGAAGCAGAGACAAAGGCATGCTTGCAATTTGCCCCGGCTACTTCGAATGTAGTATAGCGATAGACAGAGGAAAAATTAGTGAATGCAACGAGAAGGACGACTGGGATAGAAGACAAAACGAGCGATATCTGTATGAGCTTTATATCCTGGTCCTTCGTAACATCGCCGCCGCAAATGACAATTTCAGCCTCTATCTTGACTGGCCGAGACGGCAGATAATGGATCCGAATTCGATGTAAAATCAGCAAAGCCAAAGGCTTTTGCCTCAAGGCATCAACAATCTCACGCGTCCCTCTCGTGTCGATAACGAGTATTTGCACCCTTCTTTGCGCTTGATGTGCCGAGGTCTATCGATCTCTGGAATTTGTTCAAAAGGCCAATTACTCAGGAAACAAATGCCAGAAAGGACAGAAGACAACGTGTTGAAAGAAGCATGCAGTCTATGATCTATACGGATTATCCAGGAGAAGATCTCGTGCGAAACTCTCAACAGTTTATGGAGAGCTGTCATAATAAAAAGGAGGCTAACTAGCGATTTTTAAGTTACCTCGGCACTCTTGGCGGCGGACTGCGCCTCGTTCTGCGGATCAATCCCGCACTAGCCACAAACTACTGCATCCATATCAATCATATGAATGTGCGTGCAATGGCTTCAAGACACTGCAACAGGTCCCGCCGACGCATTCAACACGTATTCCACTGAATCACCTCCTGCCACGGCCATTCTGCTGCTGTTCTAGCTGTTGGCAGAGACGCCATGGCGCGTCACAGGCGGCTGTCAAATGCCTCCTCTGCGTCTTCTCTCCCAGAGCGACATCAGGTATGAGGACACCACATGCGCCTTGATGGCCAGATGGTTTCTGCAAATGTTCCGATACTAATCACACTCGGGGTGTTTTGAAGGAGCTTGATAGCATGTACGATTACTTAGCGAAGGTGATTCTACTTGGACCAAGCGGCGCTGGAAAGTCTGTTCTCCTTACCGTTCATTGATCCCAAAAATTTAACCCTGATACGCCAACTTCCATACCAATACAGGCCTCTATATATTAAGATCATCTAAAAGCATAGTTGCTGACGTATTGCATGCATCTGCTAGATCTTGCCTCCTACATCGTTTTGTGAAAAATGAGTGTATGCACCCCGTTACCTCCTTTAGCTCTTTCACACTTCCTCCCCACTCGCAACGTTATCCTCAGCGCTTCTCAACTTTATAAAAACCCACTGAACTTCATCAGCTAACAAAACCACGGATTTACAGGGCGCGTGCTCTCCTCTCAAACAATCGGCGTCGAATTCTCGTCAAAAATTGTAAAGATAGGAACCGGCTCACGCTGGAAACGGATAAAACTACAACTATGGGATACAGCAGGTACTGAGCGATTCCGCTCCGTTTCGCGTTCGTACTACCGCGGGGCTGCCGGCGCAATCCTTATCTACGACGTCGGATCACATGCTTCCTTCTCCGCCCTCCCAACCTTCCTCATGGATGCTAGAGCACTTGCTTCCTCGAATCTAACGATCCTCCTGGCCGGAAACAAAAGCGACCTTCTTTCCCAAGACACGATGTCCCTGGGCGGAGGGGACTACGGCGATGACTTCCAGCGTCCACCCCCGACACCGTCAAGTACATCGAGCAAACAGGTTCCGTTCTCCTTCGAATCTGGTGGAGGTTCACTGCGATCCATCAACGGGCCGCCAGTGGGTACGAGGATGACCGCCACGATAACTGCGGAAGGGCGCGAGGTGGCGTTAGAAGAAGCGTCGCGGTGGGCGGCGAAATCGAATATACCCGTTGCAGTGGAAGTATCGGCTTTAACGGGGGATAATGTGGACGAACTTTTTAACAGGCTTGCGCGAATTATCCTCACTAAAATCGAATTGGGCGAGATAGACCCTGATGATCCTCAGAGTGGTATTCAGTACGGGGATGGGGGAATGTATGGTACTGGTACGAGCGATGGAGGTAGCGTGCGGAGCGGGATCACGATCGATGACTCTATGACGCAGATGCGGAGAAGGAAAACGCGGAGCCGCGGAGCGGGGAGTGGATGGGCAGCAGGAATGAGGGAGTGGGAGGATGTGTTTAGGCTGGGCGGATCGAATACGAGGAGGGGTAGATGTTGTTAATATTCCGCGGCTGTTGTGGAGTAGGTAATCCTGTTGGAAGTTCACGGTCCTCTACCTGGTGTGGACTAGCTCAGGGCAGAAATCCCGGCTTGGACATGACATGCCGTTGGTCTGCTAACCCATCCGTCCCCATACTTCGATTGCGTTCCCTCCTGAACTCTCCCGGCATCTCATTTTACCTCTTCCTCCTTTACTCTTTACGCATCCGATGTCTATACCGATCTCTACTTCTCCGATATTGATGATGCTTTCTTCTTATCCTCCTTGCTTTCCTCTTTCTTCTTCAATTATCTGCATATCCGTCACACCTGTATTCTGCTTTCCTCAGCACTATATTGTACGCACGCTACACCGCATGGTACCCGTCATTTACCTTTGCATATCTGCATTTTGCACCAAGCACTCGCTCCACACTAATACACAGAACCATCCACCAATGACTCTGAAAATACGCCATATTTGCACTTGTACGTTTCATCTTCATAGCTTCTCCCTATTCTCACTACCTCATTGCCACTATCATTGCCACTATCACAATGTACTACTTGTTTTCATTTTAACTTATCCGGAGTCAGGGATAGGATGCCATTCGCTTTTGCCTTCCATGCCACTTCTTCTTCTTCTTCTTCTTCTTCTTCTACTGTTGTCACTTTTTATGTCAATACCCTTTTTCTTTCATGCGTCGCCCAATGATCATGCCAACATGCCGTACAGTCCATAGCCACATATATTTAATCAATAATTAACGATTAGGAACCGGGTCGGGGGGAAACCGTGTAGGTTCTATCTTACATTGACTTGTTGAACGGATTTCTACTTAGACATATGACAGAGCAAGTGAAGCGAATAGAGAAATATCAATGCCTATTCATTGCGCCTGGGATCATATTTAAATGCGTGAAAACGACCTGAGAAAGTGTGCTGAAATTTTGAAAAAAGCGAGATACCATTGATCGCGTTTTCTCTACTACAACCCAACAATAATTCAATACTCCACACCACGAATGAGTGTCTTAATCCCCTTCCCTCCTTTCACATCTAGAATCGCCTTCTCCGCTTCCTCGAATGCTACCATCCCCGTCACTAACTTTTTAACATCCACCTTCCCCTCCCCCACCAGCGTCAGCGCTAACTTATAATCACCACTACCATACCGGAAACTACCACGAACATCCACCTCCTTCGTGCAAACCGCCATAATCGGGAACGAAATCACATCCCTCCCCATCCCCCCTTGCACATACGTTCCGCCAGTCTTGAGCACATGGATACCCGTATGCACAGATGACTCCGCCCCTGACGCATCAATGACTACATCCGCCCCGCGACCCAGCCCATGCTGCACCCGTAGCCGCTCCGCATTCTTCTCCGCACTCTCCTCCCTAGCCGGCTCATAGACACCCGTAGCCGCATACTGGGCCGCAAACTGCAACCGGGCCGGCTGGATATCAACCGCAATGACCTTCGATGCCCCAAACGCCCTCGCAACCGCACAACACAGCAATCCCACGGGCCCCACGCCAAATACAACCACAGAATGACCCGGCTGCACACGCGCCTGCTTTGTAATATGTACAGCAACGCTGAGCGGCTCCATCAGCGCGCCCTCGTCGAGCCCAACGTTCTCGGGTAGCTTGTGGCAGAAGTCTTCGGGGAGGACGTAGTATTTGGCCAACGTGCCATCGATGGGCGGCGTGGCGGCGAAGGCCATACGGAGGCATAGATTGTATTTGCCACTGAGACAGGGCTCGCAGCGGCGGCAGGGAATCCCTGGTTCGAGCGCGACGGGGTCGCCTGGTTGTAGGCTTGTGACGGCTGAGCCGATGGAGGTGACTATACCGCTGGATTCATGGCCGAGGACCATGGGGGAAGTTAGGATGAAGGGGCCGATGGAGCCGTGTTCCCAGTAGTGGACCTGTGGGTTGACTTAGTGAGAGTTGTGCTACGTGCTTTTATTTTCTTTTTGAGGCTTAGTTGAAAGGAGGCATGTATGCTTTGGACGTACGTCGCTGCCACAAATACCGGTGTATTTGACGTGGACCTGCACATCGTGAGGGTCTTTGATGGCCGGGACGGGTCTATCTTTATAGGAGACTTTCTTTATGCCTTCGAGGATGAAGGAGAGGTTCTACACCCCGTAATGCGTTTCTAATTAGCACGCCGCCTCGTATCATTAGGTAGAATAGAAAAGTATGTTATTATAAGGAAATCTAATGGATCCGTGGAGGGAATGCAACAATAAGCCGTTCGATTGCGTTCTATACGCAGGCTGACATTTGAACCTACCTGTGGGGGTTCGCTAGGCATGCTTGTTCGATATGGTGAGTGTTAATATGTACGTTGTATTGGCAAACCAAATTTAAATACAATTAAATTTATATATACAAGTGGGAGAAATGAATTGAAGGGGAGTATAATATGTATAATATGTATACAGATCAAGAGTACAGTAGACAGAAAGCTGAATGATCAAACTCAATCATTTTTGCGGGGAAAAGTGGGCAGGATGACGCACTTGCATTGGCAGCGTTTAGATGGAGCATTAATTTTGTAACTTACCATGGTTTGATGTTTGTGTTTATAGCTATTTTTGTCCGCCTCGGAATATTTATCTTTACCAGCTACCGTAATGCTTGGTTAAACTCCCTCTTTATATGTAATTCGCACCTTCGCCCATTAATACATTAGAGCAGGTACTTCATGTTGATGAGTACTGTTGACGTCATTTTCTGCATGCAGATATTATTTATCTTAAATTCGGCAACAAGGCATCCCGTCTATGGGCGAAAATTGGACAGCACATAAGAAGAGCCTTAGGAAAACGAAACACGCAAGGACGAACTAAAGTTAGGAAGTAGGCAGGTCTCCACCCGCGCGGCCATTGCTCTAGAAGCCGATCCATTCCTCCATACCCTCACGACGATCCTAGATACTTCACAGAAATCCTATCCCCATGACCCTTATCCAGTCCCTTCACTCCAATATAAACAGTCTCCCCAGGGACCAGATCTACACAGTTGTCATCAAACACCACCTCATCTCCATCCGCATATACCGCCACACCCTTCACCGGCACCTCCGCTGACAACTCCACGTGTTTCCCATCCACTGAAAGCGCCACTCGCAATTCCTTGGGAGCCTGCAGGTGGACATATCTCAGCGGTTCAGGCCAATTGACATAGCGCGCCACTTGCTCGCCGTTTTCAAGGAGATATGCCGCGACAACCGTACGGTTAGCCTCTTCTCCGTCCTTGGTTTTTTTACCCTCTTCATCCGTGGTAGGTACTTCCAACTCAGCGATCTCCATACTCCTATTCTCTTCTAGAACGAAACGGTCGTGAAGTGTTTTGGAGTAAATCTCGCGGCCCTTGATGACGTCCCAAGCCTTAAGTATCACACTCACATTTCTCGGGTTAACCGTGAGGTTTGATGCCCATATCTCGACTTTGTGCGTTGTCTTGTAGTAGGCGTTCGTGTACTTGTCCGCGTATTCAGTGTGGGAGGTCCGTTTTAGGCCGATTGTGATGGGGGCCAGTTCGCGCTTTACTGCGTAGAACGCATGCTTGGGACGGAGATGGTAATCGACAAGGGCCCAGGATGTGACAGGCCAGCAGTCGTTCATTGCCAGACCAAAACGCCAGCGCAATATTCACGGCCTGGCCCTTTCCACTGACGTTTCCAGAGCCGGTAGGCACTGGAAAGGCATTCTGCTTGGATGAGCTGCGTAGCGTAGATGTACTGTTCCAGGGGCTCGAGGTTGTATCTGATGTTTTCGGCCAGGTAGATGGCAATGCGGCGCTCGTGGCCTGCGGCTTTGTTGTGGAAATCGACGGTGGATGATTGCGCGTGTCTCTCCGGGTCCACTTTACCGCCTGTTAGGTATCCATCAATTGTCCTTATGTCGGGGAAGCCTTGCAAGCCAAATTCAGACACGAATCGGCCGCCGAGTTTATCAAAGTCTTGATACTTCTCTTGCGTGCCGTGCCAAACTATATATTGATGAAATTAATATTTTAAAATAGCCGATGAGACAGATAAAGCCATGCTTACCATTCCACTGGTGGATATCGCCGATGGTGGGATCGGCTGAAGTTTTCCCACCCCAGGGCGAGCCGAAATGATAGTACGTATCTGGTATCAAATCCTTCGTCACGTCAACCAAGACCTTTTCGTAAATATATCGTGCTGGGAACTCAGACTTTAGCCAGCTGTCAGGATCATTGTTGCTGGGGTCCCAATTCAAGTTCTCGCTCTCTGCGAACTGGTAGTCTTCATTGTTTCCGGCCCATAGCACTATTGAAGGATGATGTCTAAGGACCTTGACATTTGCAATCGCCTCGCGCTTCACATTCTCAAGAAAGCTTGGGAACACTGGATAATTTCCACAGGCGAAAAGAAAATCCTGCCAAACCAATACACCCAGCTCGTCGCAGGCGTCGTAAAATGCTTGTTCCTCGAATAAACCGCCTCCCCAGACTCTGACCATCATTTGGTTACCGGCAACCATCAGTTTGACCCAGTCATAGTACTTCTGGGGTGGAATTCGGGGTATGAAGTTGTCCGCGGGAATCCAGTTGCTCCCGCCACAGAAAACTGGAATATTATTCACTTCGAAGAAAAAGGAAGTGCCTTCCGCACCATCCATCTTTCTTTGGATAAGCTCGGCTCTCCTTAAACCAACACGTTTGCTAGTAGAATCCAGCTTGACTCTATTGGATGATAGCGTTGCAGACAGCGTGTAGAGAGGCTGTTTACCATATTTTGACGGGTACCACAGTTGAGGATCTTGAACGTGGAAGGTCACTGACGCGATACCATCCTTGATATCGACTGTCTCTGAACCTTTCTCTTCGTCACCCAAGGAAATGTGGAATGCCACATTATCTGCGTCGCCTTCTACCTCTGCAGTGACAACCAATTTCGCGTGTTTCAGGGATTTGTTCACATTCTGCCGGAAATGGAGGTCTGAAATTCTGGCCTTGTAAATTTCCAGATTGACAGGACGCCATGGTCCGCAAGTCATGAGAGTCGGGCCCCAGTCCCAGCCCTACAGGAATATGAGTGAGTAAACCATGTTGAGTTTTCCTGGGGCAGAACAGAGCAATCATACATAGTGATACTGCGCCTTTCTCACTGCAAGACGGCTACAGTCTCCATTCCAGCAACCCCAGCGATGCTCTGGGTACAGCTCTTTGATCTTCTTTCCGAGTAGAAATGTGCTCGCAAACGTGATGCTTAACACATTTGAACCCTTCGATTCTCGAAGCAGCTCAGTAACATCTACCCGCTCAGGTATGAACATATTTTCCGTTTCGAGGATCTTCGTATCATTTAGAAGTACAGTGGCATGCGTATCAAGACCGTCGAAGGCCAAAACTGCCTTCTCCCCGTCTCTAAGCGGCGGATTATCGAAGGAAGCTTTGTATAACCAGGGCTTCTCTCCAACCCACTGTACAGCAAGCTCATTCTTGCCAATGAAGGGGTCGGGGATAAGCCCATGGTGCACCAGGTCCAGATGGACGTTTGTTGGGAACTGGGAAACGGATAAAAACTGGGCCTGTTCATCGTCTGCCTGCTTGAAAACCCAGCCCTCGTTGAGGGCGATAACGGTGCGTTCGGACATTTTGGGTTGAAACTATGATGATATGATAAAATGAGGACCTTTTAACCAGTGGCTAGGATGTAGCTATGGGCATTATTGAGCTCTTCAGAAACCAATCTGAAGGGAGATCGTAGACACATATATATACATATGTTTGCGCTTGAAGCCTACCTCAACCTGAGTGCAACGCGGGCCAAGGACTAATAACCCGCATGGTAATGTTCCAGTCGAGAGCAATATCAACCCCGCAAGAGACCAAACCCACAGCTATTGCTTGCTTATGGGTCCCTCTTGAAGCAGATTAAATAACGGATTGTTATCGGGTTCCACAACGATAGGAATTATTAATATGATGTCCTGTGTGCTCCACGAAGGATGGGTAACAGTTGTTGCATCCAGGTGCAAACCCGGAAAGGAGCTTCCCCGATTAAATAGTTGCCTAAGGGAAGGTTATTTAACTCCCAAGTATTTAAAGACTCCATAGTTTCATATTTAGTGCACTTTACCTCTAGATAACTAGTTATATGACGCAGCTGAAGAGCCAGCGCTTATCATTGCCATATGCTGTACGGAGTAACGTATAACTACGGAGTACTGTTATTAGTGGGATTGACGGAAAAACGTTAGCAAAATAGATAGTTAGATGATAACCTGTGAATATAGATCAATTGATGCATTTTGTAGTACCATTAAGCAAAGTGTAGACGGCTCTTGTAGTTAACTATAGTTGTTTGTCTGGTGAAGGCCGATATGGCCAAAAATAACTCTGATCGTAGTATTTAATTATAATAGTGTGATATTTAGTTAGTTAACTGCTCGACCCCAGTATTATATTTAAATAACAAAGCTAGCCGGCTCAATTAATCATCCTGAAAGCCGCCGGTTCCAATTGTGCCCTCCGGTGTGTTTCTCATATCATCGTCACTAGATATTTCTTATTTTTTTTAATTTTTTTTCCCTTTCTTTTCAGCACAATGTTCCGCACCCACTCTGCCGCTTCGACGGCTATACGGGCCGTTCATCACACACAAACATCCATCTCCACCGCACATCCCGTTCTCGCACGTTGCTTTCGACAACAGTCAAGACGGTTTGGGACCACTTCGCGCTGTAAGGAGGAGAGGCCGTCGTTCAAGGGTCAGCTATACGAAAGCACGCAGCAGCGATTGGTTAGAGAACGCGCAGAGCAAGCTCGATATGCCAGAGCTCAACATGACACCTCTCCAGGCATTCGGGCTTTTGCAATGACAGTGGGTATGTGGAGTTGTTTGCGCGATTACGCTCTACATTAAGATCCTTCTACGGCCAATTGACAAACGGACTTTTCGCAGTGCTTGTATCCGCATCGTTGGGCTGCTACTATCTCGGATCTTTGAAACCCGGCAGCCTTCCCACCACCTCCACGACCCCCCTGGCTGACACCCGGCCTCCGCGCCATGACACTTCTCCCTCGACCCTCCAGGCCGCATGGGCCGATTTCGTCGAGATTGTCGGCAAGGAAAATGTCTCCACTGCAAAACACGATGTCGACGCTCATTCTGGCTCGGAGTGGTCCTCGTACGCCTACAAAGAACATGAAAAACCATTCCTGATCGTATACCCCTCGACAACCGAGGAAGTTTCCCGGATCATGAAAGTCTGCCACGAACGACTGATTCCAGTGACGCCCTATTCTGGTGGGACTAGTTTGGAAGGGCATTTTACATCTACGCGAGGGGGTATCTGCATTGATTTCCAGCGCATGAGCAAGATACTCGCTTTACACAAGGAGGATTTGGACGTGGTGGTTCAGCCAGCGGTGGGCTGGGAGGACTTAAATGAAGAATTGGCGAAGCAGGGCCTTTTCTTCCCTCCTGATCCAGGGCCCGGGGCAGAGATTGGCGGAATGATTGGCACTGGCTGCTCGGGAACCAATGCGTACCGGTACGGAACGATGCGAGAGTGGGTTATCTCGCTAACAGTCGTTCTCGCTGACGGAACTATAATCAAGACCCGACAACGCCCACGCAAATCAAGTGCAGGATATGACCTAACGAGACTCTTCATTGGCAGCGAAGGCACCCTGGGCCTGATCACAGAGGCAACCTTAAAAGTGACAGTCAAACCTAGAAGTGAAAGCGTAGCCGTTGCTTCATTCCCGACTATCCACAATGCAGCTGAGTGCGTGGCGAGGATCGTAGCGGAAGGCATCCCCGTTGCAGGCATTGAGATCCTGGATGATGTCCAGATGAAATGCATCAATGCTAGCCAATCTACAAGTCGGACGTGGAAAGAAGCACCTACGCTGTTTCTCAAATTCACTGGTACCCCGTTGGGCGTCAAAGAGCAGATCGCCCTCGTGAGGAACCTTGCGACCTCAACTAAGAGTCAATCATTCGAGTTCGCTCGCAATGATCAGGAGAAAGTTGAGCTCTGGAGTGCGAGAAAGGAGGCTCTGTGGAGCGTTATGGCGATGAAGCGGAACCCTGACGATCGTGTATGGACAACTGATGTTGCTGTCCCCATCAGCCGGCTGCCAGATATCATCGAGCAGACCAAGGAAGACATTGTAAAGCAGGGTCTACTCGCGGGTATTTGCGGGCATGTTGGAGATGGGAATTTCCATGGTGAGATTAAATACATGCATCCTGCCCCTTATGACCACTTTTGTTTATTCCTTTCTACCGCGAAAACGTATTTTTAATGCTAATTATCTGTGTCATAGCTATCCTCTTGTTTAACAAAGAGGAGCGCGAAGCTGTTGAAGGGGTCATCCATCGCATGGTCAAAAGGGCTGTGGAAATGGAGGGAACTGTGACCGGTGAGCATGGTGTAGGTCTTATCAAACGAGACTATCTCCCACATGAACTTGGTGAATCGACAGTGGACGCAATGAGAAGGGTAAGCTTCCCGGTCCTTGTCATTTCTTTGTTCCTTACCCACCTGCAAATACGATTTTCTAACTTCCACCAGTTGAAACAAGCTTTTGACCCGCTATCACTCTTAAATGCCGATAAAATTGTCCGGATAGAGCCTCCAGGTGTTGGAGAGGTCAAGGCATGGTAGCACGTCAAAATTTTTGGTTGACATGGGCGCGGGATATCATTTAAAATGGTCTGTAGCCAATGCCATCTAACTTGACATTTTACGCCATATAACCACCGATGGAGCTAGGTATCAATGCCACTGGGCGTTCCAATATTCCTTCCTGCAAGTCGGATATCAGATCAAGCTACTATTTTGCGAATCGTCTAACGAATCGCCAAGTAAGACGCATATCCGTACGTCTTATATACCTAGTTAGCCATTCTCGCGACCTTTCGATTGCAGGATTTTCCTGTTGGATTTTCTGGCGAAAAAGTGAATATCAATCGACGTTTGTAAATAATCAACGCATAATATCACGCTTGTACTTTCATATATATATATATATGTATATATATATATATTCATATGGCTATTCATATGGCAAGGCTTGCTTATAGTCTCGTCTTCATGTTTGTCCACGAAAGCACGTCATACTTTCTTCGATCAAATCTGCCTTCCCAAATACTCTATTTTAAACACCAGCCATGGACCTTCCGTCTCGTGTCAGTAAATACACATACGGAAGACGGGAGGGGGCTGCGAACTGGCACTCGTCACTCTCCGTTTCCTCATTCTATTTCCCAGGTCTGTTCTCTTCCTCCATGCCATTTTTTGTCTGTGATTGCATCCATCACGGGTTCAAGAGTTCGAAGATACGTCCAGTCTTCTCAGCATTGAACTATTTTTTTTACCCGCGTTGCTATTTTTTCTTGTTGCATTTCTTACATGCCGACATCACAAACGTTCTTTAAAGACGCCACCTAAAGGAAAGCTACAAGAATGCATCCCTTAGTGACCCGACACTGCATGGGCTTCGTGTGCTGGCTTAGGGACAAATTATCTCCCCTACTCCCCCTAGACATGCGCAATTTGCTTTTCGCCCGTATCGAAATACTCAATGAGGCGATGCAGGATATAGTGCGTTTCCCTCCCTCCCTAGCTCGCTTTAAGCTTCAAAGATGGCTGCTGGGTCCTATTCATGAGGTAGGGCGTGGCTAGACACTGAATTACTGGGTGCTAACTGAAGGTTTGTTTATTTTGATTTCTGCTTTTAGCTTCCTACGGACGAAGTGAGACCAGAAGATGTAGTTGGAATGTTCAAGTTGAAGTGTGATAAGGATCCGAGTATTTGGGATTTGCCGTGTATGGATATCTCCACTACTTGAGTAAGGGATTTGCCCACTACTTTGACTGCGGATCTTATATGCCTGGATATACTGGAAAGTGTACAATCTCCACCGCTAATTACCCAGGCATAGGTACTCTCCTATCCGATCTCGATCATATCAGCTCCGGCCGCAAAAGTGAAGGTCTAGTCCGTTGTCGCCTGAGCCTCATACTATTGAACTGTCTTGCAGCAGAGGAACGATGCTATAATGCTGTCATCTCAGATCAGTCTATTGCTCCTCCTGATTCTGAAATCATTCCTGGGCAAGCATCCCCAACACTATCTGATGCATCTTGGTGCCCCGTGGGGCCGGAGATAGTGCGATTGAGCGTGGAGACGCCATTATCGAGTGCAGTGGAATATAATGGCCGCGCACGCCTACTCTACGGCACGGCAGATTTCGCGCTGTGGTATGGGTCCGCAAAGGAGATGGCGTCGAATTTGGTGGTTGTAGGTAGCGATGGGTGGGGAGACCACGGCGCGGCAGGGGGAGGGAAAATGTTTGGCCCTTATGAGTATGTATGACTTGTCTGATTGGGGGGCGGGCATATATGAATTATCGGTTTCTTGTCCCGGGCGTATAAACAATACGTAGAATGCACTTTGCTAACGACGTATGCTGCTTTCTTTCGGGGCCAGGTATCGTGCATTCGAGGCGGAAGGAGGGCGGAAGGAAGAACGCTACTGTTTATGGAATATGCAGCGATGGTGTCGAGTTCTATTTCCTCCGAATTTATCACGACTCTAAGGTGAGTGAGGACTCGATATTTACTCTGCACAGGAAATACTTTCAGCTTGCTAAGGTTCAGGGCACAACTGTCGATTTAGTATTCGAGAACTGGTTCAGGACTTGACTGGAACTGGGGGAAATCGTCCGAGATCATATCCCACATACGTAACATTATGCGATTAGCGCTTGAAGGCACACCGATGTCCACGCCGACAAGGGTTGATCAGTTTCCATGAAAGAAGAAAATACACATGAGACTTCCACCTGTATGCTCGGTGTTCCAAATACACGCTTGGACTTCACAATGAATCGATGTCTCTTTTCTTCATAAACCTGGGTAATTCTATCATATGATTGGGAGTGTAAGTCTTGTGAATTGTTCCCTTTTTTTAATATGCCTTGGTTGGTTCCGCTTCAAAAAAATGGCTTATTAGACATTTGATAGCAATTGTTAAAGTGGGGGTTACTCGTCTGAAGTTTTTTGTATCAGTTTCTCCGTCTGACATTTCTTCCTCGGAGGTGGTTAGTTACTTGCCCGCAACTATATATTCGCATGCATAGTGACTTCATTTTATTTCTTTCTTTCCTCCCAGGCCATACCAACTCTCCGAGCTGAACATTGGCACCTGGCGGGGAGCAAAACGGGTAAGCGAGTGAGTGCCTAAGAACAAGGGTTTTCCCCTACAATTTGTGCATAGCTTGCTCATGATTCGCCATGCGGGAAGAAATAAACTAGTCAAACTTGCTGCCAGTGACTCAGAAAACCAACCTCCCATCGTTGAAATGGAGGGGTCGTTGGAGGGGTCTGTCGGTGGTGGTTGTGGTGGGGGGCGGGATACTTATATGGCCTGCCATCGCTCATGGTAAGCACTAAAAGGTTATGTGGTTGTGCTCTTCCTTCTTTTTTCCCTCTTTTCCTGATTCTCCCGTGTGGAACTGATCTGGTTAATAGGTTTTTTATTCAGGATCTAAAGCTTTATTTATTTGGGGTCAATACATATACCCACCTGCATGTAGTCTACAGCCAACTGCTACTTGGGCCCAAAAGTAAATAAAACCTTTGCGGCCAGGTGGATGACTTGATACATCTACAAAGTCTTCTTTAGAGACAAATAGAAGGTATGTCCTTCTATTCATCTGTTTCATCTCTTACCAGCAAAGCATAACGACCCGGTCAACACTCGAATAATAACAATTGACCAAGATTCGTTATCGACAATGGATACCAACAACCCCTCCAACTCTGGGGAGGAGCGATCTAAAGGTGAAAGGCCATCAACACAACTACTACCTCCGGCAAAGAGGGTGAAAACCAGCTCTATGGACTCTAGCTTCCCAGTCCTCCTGCCAGAAGACCCATGCATACGGATGTCTGACGCAGAGTTTGAGGCGCATATCTTCAAAACCCTTCCCGCTCTCGCTGGCGTGGAGAATGCTGTGCGCAATTTGCAAATTGATACAGGCAAAGACCCCGACTCGGCGGATGCGGAGACAACAAAGTCAAACACAACTGGCAACTCTTTCGTCGATGCCCTTGACCGCGCCGCTATAGACCCTACCGTCAGCGAAGAAGCCCTGAAAGCCGAAATGGCGCGGAGAAATCGCATGTTGACGACAAACAACGGGATGGCATTTGCGTCAACACAGTCCCCTTTGCTGGAACTGTTTAATTACGTTGACGGTGATGACAGTGATGGCGATCGCGACGACAGTGACACCCTATCACTAGCGGCAATGCTTGAGCAGTCATGGCAGGCCGATTCGTTGATGACGCTCAAAATTATTTGGGCGGTCCGCAGTATTCATTTGGGGAAGGGGGATAAAACTAAGTTTTATCAGCAGCTAGGGTGGCTGGGCCAGTACCATCCACGAACACTTTTGCGAAATTTGAAGTGGCTCTACAGACCTGTGGTTAAAAAGGACGCGAAGGAAAGGGAGGGTGATGAACAGGTTGTTGTTGAGAATGTTGGTGAGGGGGATGAAAAGGACACGGTGGAGGTGGATGATTATGGTGTTATCCACAGCGGCTCTCATGGATATTGGAAAGACTTGCTCAATATTTTGGTCCTATCGGTGGAGGGGAAACTGGACATGAGCAATCCTGACCGAGTACTGTTGGTGGATCATCGAGTTCCGAGGAAGCTGGACGGCACACGGCCGCTGAGAACGGAAACGGGTGGTCGGTACAGAAGAGGGGCAAGGGCAGATGCCCAAAAGGAAAAAAACAAGTCCCCCGCTGAACTCGAGCTTGAACAGAAAGCGGTATCCAGGGCTGAAAAAGCGAGGCGCCGTGAAAAAGTCCTCAACCGCCTCGCCACCGATCCTTTTCACCGCGCCCTCCACTTAACCGTTGCCCGGCTCTTCGCCGAACAGCTACGGAAGGATATGCTCCTCCTTGAATCCGGCACCAAGAACAGCAATAAAGCAGCGCTCCGTGAAATCTCCCTCTGTGCAAAATGGGCTCCTTCTCTAGAACGTTTTCACGACAAATACACCCTCATCGCCTCCACAATATCGGAGCTCCTCTTCCCTAAATCCGCGCTCGGGCCTAACCCCGACTCTACAGGTACCCAATCGCACTCTCGAGAAGTCTACCTCAAGCGTGCTCGTGAAAACTACCGCGCCCACACCCTATCCCCGCTTCGCAAAGCTCTTGCTATCGTCGAACGCGACATCTCCGCCAAAACTTTCTCAAACATTGAATATTCCAAAGTCCCCTCCCTGGCCATGAATCAATACAAGGGCCTCTTCCAGAAAAAAGACACTGAGCGTTTCAAGTGTTACATCGAGGCCGTGCAGAAGGGTGATGCTAAAATCTCCGGCGCCATCCTGACCCCCGGTTTACTTGTGAAAGAAGTTTGGCCACACAATTCGGGAGTTGCATCTGACGATTACGGCGTCGCAGATGCGCAATGGAAGACGCTAGTGCAGCGCATCAAGGACTCTGGGACCCTTAGTAGTGCTATAGCCCTATGTGACGTTAGTGGCTCTATGGAGGACCCGCTGGATCGACACAGAATAGGACCACTACACAATGCCATTGGCCTCAGTCTTGTGATGGCTGAAGTAACCAAACCGCCGTTTGGAGGGCGGATTATCACCTTCTCAGAAGAGCCTAAGATACATATTATAAATGGCATGTCTTTGGCGGAGCGCGTGGAAAACGTACGCACTGTGCCGTGGGGGCAAAACACGGACTTTATCAAGGTGTTTCGGGACTTGCTATTGCCCCTGGCGGTGGAGAATAAGATTCCGCCAGAAGATATGGTCAAGACGGTGTTTGTGTTTAGCGACATGGAGTTTGATGAGGCACAGTGTGACTGGGTTAGGGACGCGGAAAGTGGGGCGCAATGGCAGACCCATCACCAGATTGTCGAGCGGGAGTTTAGGAAGCATGGGTATGAGGTGCCTCAGTTGGTCTACTGGAACCTAGCGGCGAGAGCAGGGGCGGTTCCCGTCACGTTCGAGATTCAGGGGACGGCGTTGGTGAGCGGGCAGAGTCAGGCATTGATGAAGGTGTTTTTGGATGGTGGGATGTTTGGAGAGGAGAAGGAGGAGGACGTGGGAGAAAAACAGGATGAGGTGGAAGGTGATGGGGATGGGGAGTGGGCAGTTGTTCAGAAAGAGGCAAAGAAGAAAACGAAGAGGATAGATCCGATGAAGATTCTTCGAAAGCTTGTTGGGCATGAAGCGTTTGATATGTTGCGAGTGGTGGATTGAGTTTTGCATTCTCTACAACTTAACTTGCCAGAGGAAGTCTGTCAATAACCAGGTCTCGAGAAATGAAGTAACGAAGCAATGAATATCCCTTTAGTTCTAAAGTGCAGTCAGATGTTCCCCTATTCTTTCATCCTTACTTTTTTCCTTTTTGACTTTTTGTTACTATTATGACGACAAAAAATTATACATCAATGATGGTAGTTATTTACTGTTAGAATATTCCTGTAGTTCAATTGTTTTATGCAACTAATCGATTCAGACTGAAGAAAACAGAAAATTGCCCAAATATCATCATCACACCCTCCCGTATCTAGCAAATACCAATTCAATATTTCACCTATACCTTTCTTTCGTTCATGCCATTCAACTACCAATCCAACCATGCGAAACAGCCGTAAACAAACCCAAGCATCTAAGAATCACGCCTGTGATGCCTATGCTTACGCCTATGCTTCTTTCCATCATCACTACCGTCATCGCCATCATCATCCTTCTTCTTATGCCGACGACGATAGTCATCATCGCCGCTGTCGTCGTCATGTCGCCTGCGATCACGGCTGCGCTCACGACTGCCATGACGGCGCTCATCGTTGCCATAATGTCCGCTTTCGTACCGGCGAGAAGACCTTTCGCGGGACTTGGAGCGCTCACGGTGGCCATGATGCTTGTGAGATGAGGTCCCGTATTCCTGTTGATGGCCGTAACCACCACGACTCTCGCTGCCATAACCTCCACTATAGCCACGAGCCTCACCACCCCCATCCCCTCCGCCGTAACGCTGAGACTCACTGTGCCCATGGCCACGGCTCTCGCTGCCGGAATAGCCACCATGTCCGCCCGCCTCGTAGCCGCCGGAGCTCGCTCTATTGTACCTTTTCGAATCGTGGAGAGAACAAAAAGTTAGTTTTTACCATACATATAATATAGTATGAAAAGTAAGAATTTTTTAGACGAGGGGGTTAGAAAATGAAAAGAGCAGTAGTGGATAACGAACCCTTCTTCAGCACGTCCATAGCCAGCGGTTTCACCATGTTGTGGCTGGCGGTAACCTCCGCTTTGGTACCTGTCTCGTTCGTACCTCTCACCGCCACCCTCCCGTTCATAGTCGTCGCCGTCGTTGTGTTTCTTATGTTCTTTATATTTTTTATCTTTGTCAGCTTTCTTGTCTTTCTTGTCCTTTTTATCCTTTTTGTCTTTCTTATCATTCCCGTCAATCTCATATTCCTTGTCCTTCTTCTCGTCCTTCTTCTCGTCCTTCTTCTTCTCGTCCTTCTTATCCTTCTCGTCCTTCTTTTCTTTCTTATCTTTGTCTCTTTTCTCATATTTTTCATCCTTGTCCCCTTTCTCCTCCTTATCCTTCTTTTTCTTCTTCTTTTCTTCTTTATCATAATCCTTGCCCTTGGAATGGGAAGAATGATAATGAGGATCTGAGTAGTTGTCTTTCTTCTCCTTATGGCGCTTACCGTCGTCACGTTCCTCGAATTCACCACCCGCGGCGCTACCAACTATCCCTCCAACCAAACTCCCAAGCAATCCGCCGCCAACAGCTTTAGAAGCCATTTTTTCTATGTCTGAAGCGCTCGACTTCGAAGTTTTAGCTCTTAGGCCTTCGAGGCCGAACAAATCCAGGGCACCTCCTGCGACGGGGCGGTCGCGGTTAGGGAGACCCATTGGTTTGCCGCAACCGTGGCCGGAGTCGTGAACACCAGGCTTATGATTTTCACCATTCTGCACACCTTCTCTGCGGAGTTGCTGACGGAGTGAGTCCTGGCCGCGTCTCCCTTGTTCGTTCCACCAACTCTCGACAACTCCGAACATAATGCCGCGCATCTCTTGTGCGCCATCTTCTCCGTACTCACGCAGAGCAGGGTGGTGAAGGACGCCACTGATAATCCTATTCATGACACGGTCAACGTCGACGCTTTCGTCATCCCAGCATTCCATGATCTGGGGAACAACCCATCTCACAATCTCCGAAGCAGCCTCTGGAAACAATAGATCAGTTAGTAAGCACACTGTCAGAGATCGGGTGATGTTCCCGGCAACTAAATCTGGAGGGATGGGAGAAAAGGAGTGGGGGTTAAAATAGTAGAAAGAACTGACTTCCAGCAGGCTCGTTCAAAACATTGCTGAAATGGTCCTTGGAAAGCATGGAGTGAGTCGGATCGGTACAGTAATCATCAGTAAAGGTGTTAAATTGCTCCTGCTTGCTGTTTTGGATGACCTCCGATGAACCCGTTTCAAGCTCCTGCTTGACCTGTCTGATGATCGGGAGAACATAGGGGGCCATAACGGAAAAGACAAAAACGGTAATCTGCTCCTGTGCCTGTTCAATCAGCTCGGGAAGAACGGGTATCTTGTCGATTGCCTCGTTGATCGATTTCATCAAGTTGTCATGCCATTCTAGGAGGGGGTACATCTGTTGGTGAACATCATTCATGTAAGTGGCCCATGCTTCGGACTCGCGAGGAGTAATATTCTCGTTCCGCTGCTTGGTGGACTCAGCATTGGACTGGAACTCATTCATTTTGCCTGTGCTGTCGTCACCCCCGAAGAGACTGTCGGGGATCTTATCGAGGAGGGCCTGGAGAAATCCTTCCTGTGGTTTTTGGTTTTCGGATTCCTTGATCAGGCCCTCCAGGTTTTGGATTTCCGACTGCGTTGCTTTATCAGAAATTTCTCCCATAACACTATGGAGGAAGTCAACTACAAGGTAGAGAACATGTCAGTAGTGCATTTTTTTGAATGTATTTCCACTTCAATCCGGATGCTCGTTTACTCACCACCGCCGAATGTGCCGGTAACAATGGGATAAACAGGATTTCTAGCTCCTCTGAGTTCAATCATGGTGTTTCTCCCCACATGAGGGAAAATATTAGTCTCGCCTAGCTCAATAAGACTAAGTTCTGTATAGTTGCTATGAGCGAGGTAGTCTTCCAGAGTGTGTCTAGATTATTTTAATCCGTCTGTTAGACAAATAGACACCTAAATATCAAACATAATAGCAGTAAAACTTACAGGCCAGTTCCAAGAAGTCTCAAGGCCTCAAATAAATCAGCCTCTCTGCCGGAGCGCGAATATCTGCGGCCCAGTGCAATGCATTCGCCGAAAATTCTTCTGAGCAGAGTAGCAGAATTGTCGATACCCAGGTCCTCAGTTGCGATATAATTCTTCATACCTAGAAACCGAGATCACAGTCAGCCGCAGCAGTGCATTGATTGAATAATGACGGCTGACAGTCTCTTACCTGTACGAGGATCGATGCCTAACTCTCTCTGTTCGTCAACAGGGCCCCTGAGGCGCGAATAGTATCGACGCGGGTCTTGGCCCTCGCCATATCCCAATGGATTATCGATATGTTCCGTAGGTTGGTAGCATCCGAGGCGATCAATGGTGACTTCAAACTCGCCCGTGCCGTACCTGAAGAAATCATAATTTAGGATAGTTTCAAATCAGGTAAAAAATGATTTCATTCCAGAAGATCCAGTAGGTAGGGAGGGGGTAACAATAGTTAATACCCAAAGCTCATAAATCCCAAAACCCAAAGGAGAAGTCTGATAGCCTCCGCCGAGACATATTTCACGGTACCAATATCGATGGCCTGGCTATAATCCTTTGGGAAAAAGTTAGTTTTCCATGCTGTTTCACAATACCACCAAAAAAGAAAAAAGAAGAAGTTTAATAAAAAAAATGTATGTATATAAGAGCAAAAACCATACCCGAAGCCAATTTCCAAAATAGATACGCTTGAGATGCATTTTTGAAAACTTCTTCCCACCGGCGGACCGGGCCATCAGCAATGTCAGGATCACATCCTCAATATCGCCATGGCGCCAATTCTGACCCTCTATCTTGGATATGGAGGCGATATTGCCAGCTCCGAACGCGTGGGTAGGCCGTGTAAAGAGGAGGAAGAGCAGGCACGTCACCGCGACGGTAGTGGTAGTCGACCAGGCCATGGTTGGGGCTTTTGCTGCTGGATTGGCACACACACACACACACACACACCGCCTAGTTGATCTCGGAAAAGGGTTTGAGGGAACGGGTAACGGGCTGCGTTAGGAATGCTGAAGGATATGACGGTTTGTGGTGGTGTTGATTGTTTTGGTATTTGGTAGTTATGGTAGAAGATATTTAGTAGCCCCGCTATTAACTAGTTAACTACCGGGAGGGATGTATCTCAGTCAAGCCCGCCGGGGAGGTGAATGAGAGTCGGGTTCAATAGCAATCAATGCAAGGGAGAACCCAACAGAGTGTGAAGTTCAAGGGATAGAGATAAAGAAGAAACAGTAGAAGAGGAGGTAGAAGAGGAGTTAGAAGAGGAGTTAGAAGAGGAGGTTATATGTTTGTTGGTATTTGTTTGTTCTGAATGTTTCAGGTGGGGCAAAGAAGGCGGGGTGATGTGATGGAGAAGCAAATATACCAATCATCACAGCAAGTATTTAGCCTGACCTTTTTTTTTTCACATCATATATTGACAGCATTGATTCTTATAAAAGTAGGCTTTTTGAATTGCTTGTTCTTTTACTTTTATCTTGTGCTAGAACAGAGCCTGCACTGTATATATATATAGAGTGAGATACAGAAGAATAAAACATCTGATTATTCATTGTTATGAAATAAACAACTTCATAATAATTAGCACAAGTTCTGTGCACATTTTATAAAGTTTAGTAATAATTGTACTTGTAGTTATATACAGAACCTGTTAAACAGCAGGTCTTATCTGATCAGATTAGTGTATACAAGTTCATTCAGAGCTGTTCAGAACTGTACAGGCTGGCACTGTATGAACTGATACAACTCTGGACGGGGTCACTGAACAGGCCCTAAGCTAGAAAAAAACCAGACATCCCCCTACTCCTACGTGAGTAGAAGGGTGGAAAAACTCCGACGGCGGCGTACTTCTGCTCGAGGGGCACCCAGATATGAAGCGAGAGATAATAAGTATAGGAACGCCCTTCGAGAGCTGCGCAATGCGAAACAACGGGCTCGAGTGAGGCCCAAACATGACATCCTTAAGCGGTATCAAGAGGAGCAGCCTCTGGTCGACACTGAGGCCTGCTCACTGGAAAGCTTGTAGGCAATGAGGTGAGGGACGTCCTAGAGTGGTCAGGACTACATGGCTCCGGAGCGTCTCACACACTACCACCAAGCACTCCGGAGGCAGAATTACAGCGTCGAATCACTGCTATCCCAACGCTGTTACGGCCTATTGTGGAGTAGAAGAAGGCCACATTGTTCCGAATGTTGACCACTCTGGGCTGGATCTTGATACAAAATCAAGAGTTGTAGTAGTCACTGAACCTACTGTATGCTGCAACTGCTTGAGCACAGTCCCAAGTTTTGTTTTATTCGCCTTAATAATGGGGTATTTCATTCTTATGCATCTCGGGAGATGGCATCTTGACAATTTTAAGCCGATGCATTGCAAGATGTGTGATGTGAATTTAGGAACCCAAAATGATCGGTTTTGTGCATGAGAACTGCTACACAGGTCACTAAATAGAGAACCTGCCTTAAGCTGTAGTCTGCCTGTATTGTACTCATTGTTGTATTAAATTGGAACTTAATTCCTTCCCCTTCCTATCATCTGTCATCTAATCATTAATACCCAATGAGACATAAAGATGGCTTGATTTCAGACACCAGCCGCGGAGTTACCCCATGTGCACATATATATGCCCTGCAAGATGGACATAGCGACTTCCTGCCTAATCGCCTATCTATTCTTGCCACGCGGATTACACTGGATAAAGACCTTAGGCGTACGTACACAAACAAAACATCTAGCTGTCCTTGTTAAGAATTGCGACTAAAATACTCCCTCTAGGAGCGCTGTGCCTTGCAGGATCATCAATCGTCTATCCATTCAGTCACATCCCAGCTTATAGAAAACGAAATATCTTTGTCGCTGACGTCCAAGTAGATCGAGCTTCGCGGCTCTTGGCTGGTGACCATGGTACAAAAGGCGGACATGTCCGTTCACTGTATAAATCTTCAAGTGCTATACTGTGTACAAGTATCCATTCGGCACTTTGATGTTTCTTTTGAAGAAATGTCGCTCAAGTGTCATGTCAGTGGAGCCAGCCTCATGAAAAGTTAGGGGCTTTGCGACAGGGCCAATCTTTGAAGTCCAGGATGGGGCATCTTCTCTTGAGAAATTGAATCTCCGCTACTCAGATTTGTCCATTGTGTTATCCCGGCGAATTCCATGTTCTAGTCTCCAATTGAATGCATCAACCAGTGCTTCCACCATGCTAGCAAGGATAGCATAACGGATGCTATCTTCGTCCTGAGGATCTGGAATGCAAGCCAATGACCAGTGAGGCTCGCGATGGGAAAAAAAGTATTCACACTCATAGCCCATCATAATGAACTCTGATGCACAGAGATCCTCAACAAGTCAAAATAGCGAGCGGAGCGGCGTATCACGGATGTGGTAGATAGGGATGTGATGAAGTTTTCAAATTCCAGACTGATGTTTGTTGTGAAAATTAGGATGTTTATCAATCTCTTCCAGTGATAGAAGTGGATATGGTAAGGAATACTACCATGGAAGGGGCCAAATAAGAAAGAAGAGAGTTGACCGAATTCGCCGTAATGTTGGTCGAATCTCCAATGGGGAATGGCGACTGCCCAGCTGTACTCGGATAAACAGATATTCCGAAGAGCCCATACGTCGCTACAGATAGTTTCTTGTGCAGAAATCTTGGAGAAAGGCTAGGCTATATAGCTGGAAGGGAGGGGGGTATGTATCATCTGAAGGAATGGTGCCCGCTGATGGCGCCAATGCATAATCAAGAGTTTTCGGGGTGCTTGATTGGTTGCTTGAACTTGCGGCTTGCCTTCCTAAATCATCACTGGTGCGGAAGTTGTTATAAGCTATTGGGCCGCTCGCAAATTCAAACTCAATGCACGACGACGGATTGGGCCTTCTTCATTTGAAAGCTTCATTTGTGTCCTGGATGGGAGCCACGGTGCGCCGTCGAAAGCTCGCCTTGTCTTTTGAGGAGCTCATTGTCGCAATAATCGCAATAATAGGGGCTTGACTTGACCAATCAGCCGATAATGAATTAGGCGGAATCGGAATCGGAATCGGAATCGGAAGAGCAATGATCCCAGCTTGGTAGCCAGTCTGTGTAACTACTAACTGTATTCAGATATACATATTCATTGTGATCAGAAGTGATAGATGAGAATGTGATTTTAGAACAATGATTGACTGCTCTGAGACTCTAGTAGCTTGTGTACATCTACGGAGTAGTGACTACACTAATTTGTTTCTTTTCTTTACAAGCCAGTGTATGCTGCAGAAGCTTTTACACTGACCTAAGCAACCTTTGAATCACAAAACCTTCTGAAGTAGAAGTATATAACAGTGTTTGAGTATAACATTGACAGAGCTTGTATTATTATTTTTCAAGGATCAAAACATAAGTTGCCTTCCAAGGAACCCCTTAACAACTGAAGGAATAGAAACCGGGAAACCCATTTTTATGCGGCAAGAGGGGGGAAATAAAATAAAATAAAAAAGCAGATATCCATGTGACAGCGTTAGAATAACGTTAAAAGGAAAAGAGATACAAGAAACAAATGAAATCGGAGGCTATCACTCGAAACATGAGGAAAAAGAGGAGCGCATAGGCTGAAATGAAAGGCAGAGAGAGAGGTTAAAAGAACAAGGAAATAAGAAAAATAAAAACACACCCACAACAACTTCCCGTCCATCTCGACCCATCCCCATCATCAGCACACAACAAGCAACAACCAACCAGCAATACCTAATTAAAGCTCCTCCGTTCTCTCCCGGGACATCATTTCAGCATCTGCTCCCGCTCAACCTCGTACTTGAAATCAAAATACGGCTTATCAAAATGGTGGACACGCACGTATCCGTCCTCTCCTCCAGAGGCATAGCCAGTGCCGAGAGGGTGCGCGGCAATCGTGTTCAGAGGGCCGAAGTGGCCCTTGACACGGCCAATCTCGTCCTCGAAGATCTTGTGGTAAAACCGGGCTTCGAACTTTCCTTGTCGGGCATCAGTGGTGGTGACGTCCATGGCTGCTTGACCACCGCCGAGAATTACAAAGTCTTTCTTGGTGGTGATGGCGGCGGTATTGAGGGGGGTGTCTGCTACGTAGGTTTTAAGGATGGCGAGGTTTCGAGAGGAGATAATCTGGTGGTTTTGGGGGTTAGGGGCATATCATTTGTTTTTGCTCAGGAGGGCAAATAGGTAAGGAGATGAGGACTGCGGCACATACCTTGGCACTCTTATCTTTGCATGCAGTGATGAAGTAAGTTCGGTCAGGGGAGAATTGGATGTCGTTAATTTGGTAGTCGAATTCATGGGCTTGGACATTTTCGAGCTGCTCTCCGGTCTGTACATCGAAAATGCTAGTTAATATATACAAGGAACTCCTTTGCAAACAAGCAAAGCATATCTTGCTATCTCTTTGAAAAACGTACCTTGGAGTCATACTGGCTGACACTGCCATCCTCATGTCCAGCAATGATATATTTCGACAAGAAACTCCAGCCAGCAACCGTCGCCTTGCTCTCCTCGCATGTGATTTTCAAAGAAGGTTCTTCGGGTTGGTCGTACAAGTTGTTTCCTTCCCCATCACCGTACCGTATATCGAAGACCACAATCGTAGCCAGGTATCCCATTCGCTTCTCAGTTACGCCCAATAACCGCTTGCCATCCGGGCTGAACTCTACCCGCTTGACCGCCGTGGGGAAATCCCACACCTTGACACACTCGCCGGTCTTCGTATTCCACAGTCTGATGGTATTGTCTGCGGCGCCGGTAGCGACGAGAACACTGTTTGGAGTAACATCGACAGTCCACACGGCACCCTGGTGGCCTTCATAAGTGCCTAGTCGTTCACCGTTTGCGGAGAACCATGAGCAGAGAATCTTGTCCTTTGCCACTGAGAAAAGCAGGTCACCGTCACGGTTGAATTTTATTTGGTTGAGAGACCGTTCCTACAATTCCATGTATGTTAGCCAAGGGGAAAAATCAACATAGCTAGGGTGGTTTGGTGTGGTAGCCGGAGTTCTATTAAAATTAGATTTGACCTACATGGCCCTGAAGCAGAATAGGTCTCATTTTGCCGATAGCAGAGGATCACCAGGAGTGATCGCGCGTCAAGAGCTATAGCAGGATATGTAGAAGACACCGAAGATTGCTTGCTACACTCAGGCAGACAAGTGTAATAGACTGTGGAGCGGGATGTGTCGTTGGCTAGGCGGTGGGCTGTTCGCTCGTTTGCTCCCGCTGAAGTCATTAATATTATTTATTTCCTTTTCCAACCGTCGATAATTTTCGTCGCACACTTCGTTCGATCCGTGCCAAGACTTAAATTACCGTAACCAGCTGCGGGTGCAACGGTATTACCGGAACTATGATAATCCGACAACCACATCGCCAATTCCAACCTTAAATTTGTCTTTGTCATCAGGAAAAAACTTTAACAAAAAAAAAAACGGTAAATTGGCGGATTCTAGGGGGGGAAAATTATCGTGAAAAAAATCCGAATCAGAATAATTCAATTGTGTGATCAGCGCTGAGTCAGTAACGTATTAATAGCTTAGAATCTCGAATAAACAATTCATTGACCGTAGATTTATTTCCCATGTAAAATATTTCTTCATTTTTGGCCTAAGCACCCTCCCAATGGAGTCGGTCCAATCATTCATCAGTCCTTTCCTCTGACATCCAGCTTTGACGTTTAGGGGCGCCTTTCACGCGCTCCTTTGACCAATTCTGCCTCCCTCTAGCCGCCGGAAATTAAGTGTTCCCTTATTAAGCCCAGCTCCTGTTCACAGGCCCAGCCGAGGTCATGGTTTTACCTAGCAGTAGAGTTGTTTGTCGCGAACACCTCCGTTTGCCGCCGATCCCCCGCTCCGTGCGGCCCAACTCTCTCTCCTACTACTACCCCTCCATCATCCCTCGAACCCACACTCACCGCTACACGACATCGGCGGCGCGGTGCTTCTCTTCACGCAGTCTCAGGTCTATTATTAGTAGTGGCCCTCGAGCTATCAGTCTGCCTATTTGTACTACCTTCCCTCGTTTTCCGCGAGCGCACTCCTCCCCACGTTTTCCAGCACGAACACGCTCTTTTTCGTCCACGAAATCCAATATGGCCGCTGTCAGGATTGATGGCAATACAATTGCCAAAAACATTAGGGAGCGTCTAAATGCCGAGATTCAGAAGGCGCAGGAAACTAATCCTAGGTTCAAGCCTAGCTTGGTTATTTTCCAAAGTATGCGCCCTATCTTTTCCAATTGCAGGGTTCATTTAGTTACCTGTTCGCATATAAGGAGTGCATATTACCCTTTCTTAAAAAAACTAATTTGAAGCTAATTGGGCTTAATTCCGCATATAGTTGGTGACAGATCAGACTCTAGTATGAAATAGACAATACCCTCCGTCTCCTTTACTTGTTGCGCCCATGTTCTAACAGTAGCTAGGTACTTATGTTCGCATGAAGCTAAAGGCTGCTGAAGAGGTATGTACCCCGCCATCGTGTTCAATTGCAATAGAAGTACAGTACACAAGCTGACTTTGTACTCCCTCCGATTATAGGCAAATATAAGCTGCAAACTCAGCAAATTCTCTGAGGATATCAGCGAACCTGAATTGCTTCAAGAAATCGCACTTGCAAATAACGACCCGAGCGTACACGGCATTCTCGTCCAATTACCCCTCCCAAGCCACCTTTCGGAGCATACCATTACATCTGCTGTCGCTTCGGAGAAAGATGTGGACGGCTTCGGAGCTGTCAATATTGGGGAATTGGCCAAGAGAGGTGGCAAGCCTCTTTTTGTTCCATGCACTCCCCAAGGTGTTATGGAGCTCCTTCGTGTCTCCGGGATTGAGCTGGCTGGTAAGAATGCAGTGGTCTTGGGCAGAAGTGACATTGTAGGAAGCCCCGTCAGCTACTTACTGAAAAACGCGGATGCCACCGTAACTGTCTGCCACTCTAAGACCAAGAATTTGGAAGCCATTGTTAAGGAAGCGGATATCTTGGTTGCTGCCATTGGGAAGCCCGAGTTTGTCAAGGGTTCTTGGCTCAAACCTGGCGCGGTGGTCATCGATGTCGGCACAAACTACGTTCCTGACGCAACGAAGAAATCCGGCCAACGGTTGGTTGGCGATGTTGAGTTTTCTGCTGCTGTTGAAGTCGCCTCGCACATCACCCCGGTCCCTGGAGGGGTTGGTCCAATGACTGTAGCCATGCTTCTTCAGAATGTGGTTAATTCTGCCAGGGCCTACTTCGAGAGGGAAAAGGATAGACACATCACGCCTCTGCCTATCAAGCTTCAAACCCCAGTTCCCTCAGATATCGCCATCTCTCGGACCCAGCGACCCAAGCCTATTACCCAGGTTGCCGCGGAGATCGGCATCGCACCGCACGAATTGGAGCCATACGGACATACCAAGGCCAAGGTTACCCTTGACCTCTTGGACCGTCTGTCCCACCGCCGTGATGGACGATATATTTTGGTGTGCGGGATAACACCAACCCCCTTGGGAGAGGGCAAATCAACCACGACTATGGGTCTTACACAAGCTCTTGGTGCCCACCTCAACAGAATCGCCTTTGCCAACGTCCGACAGCCTAGCCAAGGGCCCACCTTTGGAATCAAGGGCGGTGCCGCTGGAGGAGGATACAGCCAAGTCATCCCCATGGATGAATTCAACCTTCATTTGACCGGTGACATTCATGCCATTACCGCTGCAAACAACTTGCTGGCAGCTGCTATTGAAACAAGAATGTTCCACGAATCCACACAAAGCGATGGTGCGCTGTATAAACGGCTGGTGCCAGTCAAGAAGGGAAAACGAGAGTTCCAGCCCATCTTCCTCCGACGGTTGAAGAAATTGGGAATTACAAAAACAAACCCAGATGACCTCACACCAGAGGAAATCAACCGTTTCGCAAGATTGGATATTGACCCGGAGACTATTACCTGGCGGAGAGTCCTGGACGTGAACGACAGGCATCTGCGAACCATCACGGTTGGGCAAGCTGCAACCGAGAAGGGCCATACCAGACAGACCGGCTTCGATATCTCCGTTGCCAGCGAATGTATGGCTATCCTAGCCCTCAGCAACGACCTTGGCGATATGCGGGAACGCCTAGGCAGAATGGTGGTTGCTACCTCCAAGAACGGAGACCCAGTCACTTGTGACGACATTGGCTGCGGCGGCGCACTGGCGGCTCTGATGAGAGACGCAATTAAGCCAAATCTCATGCAAAGTCTTGAAGGGACGCCGGTGTTTGTCCACGCCGGACCCTTTGCCAATATCAGCATTGGCGCCAATTCCGTCGTGGCCGATAAACTCGCCCTGAAACTGGCAGGCACCGAGCCAGGCGAGGACCATGAAGCCAAGACTGGCTTCGTCGTCACGGAAGCCGGCTTCGACTTCACCATGGGCGGCGAGCGGTTCTTCAACATCAAGTGCCGCTCCTCCGGCCTCGTCCCGGACACCGTTGTCATCGTCGCTACCGTTCGAGCCATCAAGGCTCACGGAGGAGGACCCCCAATCGCCCCCGGCGCCACCTTGGCACCAGAATACACGACCGAGAACGTCGAACTGCTCCGAAACGGCTGCGTCAATCTGAAGAAACAAATCGCAAACGCGAAGAGCTACGGCATCCCCGTCGTGGTCGCCATCAACAAATTCGAAACCGACACCGACGCCGAAATCGCCGTGATCCGCGAAGAGGCCATCACCGCGGGCGCAGAGGATGCTATCCCTGCCAACCACTGGGCGGAGGGCGGCGCCGGTGCCGTCGATCTAGCCAAGGGCGTCATCATGGCCAGCTCGAAGCCCAAGGACTTCAAGATGCTGTATGACCTCCATGGCACGGTGCAGGAACGCATCGAGCGCATCGGCAAGGAGATGTACGGTGCTGCTGCGGTGGAGTTTAGCGAACTCGCGCAGAAGAAGGTGGATACGTATACCAAGCAGGGATTCGGAAACCTGCCCATCTGCATTGCGAAGACGCAGTACTCGCTCAGCCATGATCCGAACCTCAAGGGTGCGCCGACTGGCTTCACTGTTCCGATTAGAGATGTCAGGCTAGCTGTTGGTGCGGGATATCTGTAAGCCTACCTCTATTTATATCCTTCAGCCTTCAGATGGTCTTTAGACACTCAGAAATATATACATACAAAAAACAACCTGCTAACAAAGAAATTTCCACAGATACGCCCTCGCAGCCGATATCCAAACCATCCCCGGCCTCCCCACCGCGCCAGGCTATCTCAATGTCGACGTCGATGCTGAGACTGGAGAAATTGACGGTCTCTTCTAAACCCACCTACCCACCTATCCTTTTTTTTTTTCCCTCTCACCCTAGACCAAGAACTTTGTCTAAAGAACTAAACATAAACTTTCAACACCGGACGACATAACTATTCCACACATAATCATTCAACAAAGTCAAAAAGATATCAAAAAGAAAAAGAATTCCAGAGAGGAATTTCTGACACCGCTAGACGGGGCCGTCCCTGCAATAAAAGATAAGAGCCTTGGAGATAATGCCTAATGCCTCTCCTTCTGTCTGCTATTTTTTGTCTTCTACTTTCTTCATTTTTTTCCCCTTCCTGTTAGTTGTCTCCTTTCTCCGTTATAATTCATCATTGGGCAGTATTTCGGCATATAGCTTGCTTTTCGTTTTCTTTTTTTTTTAAAAAAAAAATTAGTATTTTGTGTCTATAACGACTACATCATTTAGCATTGTACTCCGTATTGTGAGCACACCTGGGCAGATTAAAAAATCTCCAACCATTTTCATTCCTTCTCATATACAACTTTACCATCTCCAATGTCCGTTTCCACCCTAGATATATATATTGGGTAGGGCACTGGGACCAAACAGTCTGTACTGGTAGTTAAGAGGCCGAAGCATTTCATATATATATATATATATGTCAACACTATCTATCTCTTGAACCTGTGCTACTCTTTAGTGATTTTTCTATGATTCAATTTTGAGGAAGGGAAAAAATCAATAATTAGAGAGAGATGCTCACTCTGAGGTCTTCTCTCTCTCTTCAACTGAGGGTGATCTCCACACAATGAGAGAGATCTTTAAGAAATGATTTTTTGTTGATTTGATTCAGTTCAAATCGGTGGAGTAACATATGTTGGCACACACACTCGTAGCTTAGCAGCAGCAGAGCTTCTAACCACATAAGTTAGAAGAACCTTGTAATCTAATCTGTAGGACACTAGGGAAAAAGAGCTCAATCACCACCAGTCTTTTTACTGGTAGTTAAGGGGGCTGGAATCATTCTCTGTCAACAGATTGTGAGATATCTGTTACAATCGCCAGCAGGGCGGCGGATGAAAGATGAAACGCAAAACAAAACAAAGATCATCAAAAACATGCACATCCAAAACGGATATAGGCTGGTTTCTGAAACTTCCGGCAACGGGGCTTTTGTCAGAAGGCGGAAGGGGGAGGAATGCCCACCTAGGTACAGTACATAAATTGATGCGTAACACGGATGAGAATGTCAATATCAAATAACAAATGGCAGACAGACGGAATTTGGAGAGGAAATTTATCCCGCGCGGGAAGGAGGATGCATAAATAAAACTGTGTGTGCATTGAGTTTTTTATAAACACTTGCTCTAATAATATATATATATATATATACCTAGTTTATAACCCAAACCCCCCCCCCCGTAGCCAAACAAATGATAACAATAACAACAATGACGATGATCTGATAATGCTCCTAAATCGCTTGTATCTCCAACAATCCCCGCGAAACCATAGTTACCTGAGCAGACAATGCGCCTGTAAAGTGAGTGTTCATCGGGTCAGGTAAGCCTCCTTCAGTCCTGCCTAACCTACCCTACCTACGCAGCGTAGGTAGTTATTTAACAGTTGATGGGTATTTTCTTTTCTTCCCTTCCCTTCCCCCTCCCTCCAGGCTCCCGCCCGCGCTGCTTATCAATCCAGGCACCGAGCAAACAGTGCCAACAACTTACCTAGTTAGTTAGCTAATAACTATCCATGCTCCCGGAATGCATCCGAGTATACAAAAGCTTTTTTATTCCCACCTGTAACAAGTTACTCTTTTCCGCTCGGGTTTTCTCGAGGGGCAGCCGAGGGGATAACTCGGCATTATTCGTGTTGTATGTTAGATCAATTTCTCAGCTCCTCTCTGGAATGAATAATAATAATAATAATAAAAATAATAATAATAATAATGCGTGTTTCACTGTTTCACTGTATCCAGCAATAATAATGATAATTAGCTATGACCAATGGCAATTATGTACAAATCTTGTTTCTGTTATCAGCACCCCTCCTTTTTTGTTTCTTGGCGGCCCTTGGTTTGCATATATACGGAGTAGAGAAGTGAGATTTGACTTCCACAAAAGACATACAATGTATATAGATAGATAGATAGATAGATAGAGATAGATAGATAGATTGTATGTTACATATCTTTATCAATCAGGGTTCAAACAAACCACAAAACAGAGGAAACATCGAGGGTAGGTAGGTACCGTACCTGCTGCCCCCCCCTCACGTAGCCAGCGCCCAGGTGTTGGCCCGTGTGGGGGTTACATCGATGTCACAGACGTCACAGACGTCACAGACAAGTGACTGCATGTATCAGAGCCCCAACCTAGCCGAATTCGGTCTAGCGTTTCCTACGTCATATAAGGTTGCATCACGTTGGGCTTGGCGGTGGACTTGGCGTTGGCGTTTGGGCGTTGGACGGCTGAGATATCGATGTCCACTAGCCACTAGCCGAGGTCGGTCCCTTTCGTCCGCGCCGGAGTAGCAGCCAATCAGTGTGCTGGAAGGGGCAGCCGAGGCGCGCGCTGGGGTGGGGCAGGCATGACTGGATCGGGACAGTTTTGCCGGCGCTGGCCGCGCGGAGAGAGGAAATTTGGCAGCAGCAGAGGAGGAAGAGGAATTGTTTAGCTAGCGAAGCATCTGAGCCACAGCCACAGCAACAGCAAGCAAGCAACAGCAAGCAATAGCAGGCAACAGCAGGCAACAGCAGGCAGGGGGGGGGGGGGGAATCAACGTCGCAAGAGACGAAGCGCTAACTACCTGACACAGGTTGTTGGTTGGCCTCACTGTCCCCGCGGTTGTTGTGGTTGCTGCCGCGGATTCCCGATTCTCCTCCTCCCTCCGTGTTCCTCCTCATCTTCTCTTCTCTTCTCTTCTCTTCTTCCTCTCCTCTCCCTCTCCGGCACTGCTGAAAGAACCCTATATCAACACAACTGAAAAAGAAAAAAAAACCCTCTTGCTCTCCCTCCACCAAGGCCCCACTCAGGGTTTTTCTGTCTTTTTTTGATTTTTTTTTTTTTTTTTGACCTGCTACCGATCGATTCCCACTCGACCCTGTAAATCAAACCCAGCGTGTCCACTTTCCCGGAAATCTACTGAGCAACCAACCAGGCAAAGCAAAGCAAAGCGGATTTTCTTTCCCCTAGGAAAAAATAAAAGGCAGACGCAAGAGGATAAGGGGGAAATAATAAAGAAACCAGGAGCGAAAGAACTCAAAAATTAAGCAGCAAAAAGAACTGGAGCTTGGATACAGTAATTACACATACCATACCTGAACCACTGATATTTGTACTGATTTATCTCGGTTGCTTCTGCTGTGCTGCTGCTGTCCGCGTGTGTCCGTCTTACATTTATTATTATTACTTATTATTGTTGTTTGTTGTTTGTTGTTGTTGTTGTTGTTGCTGTTGCTTCTAGATAGCCATGTCTGCTCTTCGGCCCGCTTCCGTTCATACCCGACTGCCCTTCTTGTTCTCGACCTCTGCTTCCTCTTCTTCCTCCTCCTCCTCCTCCTCCTCCTCCATTTCTTCCTCTTCTCACGCTCTCCGCCGCTCTCTATCCACTTTCTCCCATCGTTCATCTTCATCTTCATCATCTTTGTCTTCCTCCTCAACCTCCTCCTTCTTGCGCCTGACGTCTGGTCTCCCGAAACCATCGTCCTCCCCACTTCTCGCCCGCTCCACTGCCACCATCATCTCCCAGAGACCCTCCTGGGCTATCCTCCCTTCAGCTACACAAACTCGCAAAATGACGGGCCCACGCCGGAAGATCAAGGTGAAGAATCCAGTGGTGGAATTGGATGGTGATGAGGTATGTTGCTTTGCCTTTCTTCTTTTTTGCCCATACCCCTCCACCCCGCATCCCATCCCCTTGAAAGACCTACCTCCCTCGACGTGCAGTACAACCCAGAAACAACCCACAGCGTCAATTCCGTGTAGTACCAAGGCAGGGACCGTCGTGGGTGCTGAGGTATATTTTATTAGTGGCTGTGAATATTTATATCTTAATATAAAGTCGCGGGATCAATGTATAAAAGTGTTGCATTGTACTGGTGCAAATCCATTTTTACTTGTGAATAATGGGGACGACTAACCAAGAGATCTAATCTAATAAAAACTAGATGACAAGGATCATTTGGCAAGATATCAAGGATAAAGTAAGCATATACTCCCTGATTTGCTGCTTTCACCTTTTTCTTTTTTCTTCATGATTTGTTGGCCACAAGCCCCGAAGTAACTAACCTCCTGGTCATATTCAGTTTATATACCCGTCAGTCTGATTGGTCCCCCCCTCCCCCAGATGATCTCCCCGCTCTCCCTCTCTCGGTAACTCCCGCACAGGCATCAGGTAGATCCGGCATACTAAGGCTTTTTTTCCGCGTTCTCAGATATCTTGATATCGATCTCAAGTATTATGATCTAGTATGTGGATCCCTCCCCCTTTCTTTTTAATGCTCCGAATCGTCCTCGGGGGCATGGATACTAACATGAATGATTTTTGTAGGGCTTGGAATATCGTGATCAAACTAATGACCAAGTCACTATCGACTCTGCAGAGGCCATCAAGAAGTACGGAGTAGGCGTCAAGTGCGCTACCATTACTCCAGATGAGGCCAGAGTTGAAGAATTTAAGTTGAAGCAGAGTGAGTGAACTTATCAATTTTGTTAGCTTTTTCTTTTCGACTGCTGCTAATGTATTCGACTAGTGTGGCTATCTCCAAATGGAACCATCAGAAACATCCTGTAAGGCTTGCTCATTCTACTCTCTCTTAACAAAAATGAAACTCACTAATATTTTCCTCCCAGAGGCGGAACCGTTTTCCGTGAACCAATCGTCATTCCTCGCATCCCCCGACTTGTACCAGGCTGGAAGAAGCCAATTATCATCGGTCGACATGCCTTTGGAGATCAATATCGGGCAAAGGACCTCGTCGTCCCTGGCCCCGGTAAACTCGAGCTCGTTTATACGCCGAAGGGCGGCCAACCCGAGCGCATCAACGTTTACGACTTCGAAGGCGGCGGAATCGCCTTGAGCCAATACAACACAGACGATTCCATCTCTGGCTTCGCGCATGCCAGCTTCAAGTTAGCCTTGTTAAAAGAAATGCCCCTCTATATGAGCACCAAGAATACCATTCTCAAGAAATACGATGGCCGGTTTAAGGATATCTTCCAGGAGATCTTTGAAGCGAATTATAAGAAGGACTTCGATGCAAAGGGCATCTGGTACGAACACAGACTTATCGACGATATGGTCGCCCAGATGATTAAGAGCGAAGGTGGCTTCGTCATCGCCATGAAGAGTAAGCCAACCATTAACATTTCCCTTGCTCAAAATTCCCCTCCACACACGCACTCACTAACAACAAACCTCTAAACAGACTACGACGGCGACGTCCAATCCGACATCGTCGCCCAAGGCTTCGGCTCCCTCGGCCTCATGACCTCCACCCTCACAACCCCCGACGGCACCGCCTTCGAATCCGAAGCAGCCCACGGCACCGTCACCCGCCACTACCGCGAGCACCAAAAGGGCAACGAAACCTCCACCAACCCCATCGCCTCCATCTTCGCCTGGACGCGCGGCCTCATCCGCCGCGGCCAGCTCGACAACACCCCTGACGTCGTCGTGTGGGCCGAGCAGCTGGAGCGCGCGTGTATCGATGTTGTCGACGAGGACGGGATCATGACCAAGGACCTTGCGCTGGCGTGCGGTCGAAAGGATCGGGCGGCGTGGGTTACGACGCGGGAGTATTTGGAGGCGGTGGAGAGGCGGTTGCAGAAGAATTTGGCGAATGCGAAGTTGTAGAATGATCTGGGGGTTTTATTTTGACTTCATCTTTTTTTTCAAGAATACTTGTGGGAATTAGATTGGATAAAGACCCGTTTAGATATAAAA